CATGTGATCATTAAGTTACTTTAATAGTTTGGTTGCTCAGATTTCTTTTCCATTTTGCAAATAGTCCTTAGTAAGGACACAATGATGGGATCCCAGAATGGTTTGGATTGGAAGGAACCTTGAAACTCATCTTGTTCCACCCCCTGGGGCTAAGATAACTTCCACTAGACCAGTTTGTTCAAAATTCCATCCAACCTGGTCTTGAATATTTCCTTAACTTTATTGTTAGCTAAATGATTTAACCTAGTAAATAAACAACATAAAACAAAATTAGGTGAAAATACTGTAAAAACTACAAACTTCAGGAAAAAATAAGTTCATTTTATAATGTTTAAATTTATCAAGAAATCAATTTGCTCAAAGTCTCCAGTCTTAGTCTACAGGCAGCAGATCTAGAATGGAAATCTACCATCAAATAAATTCCCATTTGAAAATAAAATTTCAAAAGCAAACATATGATACCTTCATTGGAAGAGTTTAAACTAATATTAGGGTTTTTAGGATAAGATAGCCTATAAGAGCACTTATGGATAAAGGAGGGGCAGTTAATGTTTCATATCCTGGAATGAGGAATGTTCTGATCTGTCAGAAATGATGGTCTCTCAAGCAAGGAATGGAAGTGAGATTGTGCTGAAATATGGTGACCCAAAACCGTTTCAAAATTAGTATTAGAAATTTACCTAATTTTCTATATACTTGGAAATATCAGGAGAAATAAGGAGACAAAGTGAACAATTCTGAAAATGAAATAAGGGTTTTAACATAAAATATGTATTATATACCATATTAAAATATAAAAATATATAAATAATATATAATTTTATACTTATTAAGCCTTATGCAAATATTTTATTACTATTTATAATATGTTTATATTCCACAGCTATATATTTAATGGAAATATACAGATAGAGACATGTACATTTCTACTGAGAGGTCAGGAATTTCTCTGTACCACAGACCTCTCTAAAGTAACCCAAACCAAACATTTATTTTTTCTTAGGATTTAGGAAGCAGAGATGTTTATTAAAGCTTTCTATATATTAGCATATATTTGAACTACTTATTCAACATGTCCAGTTTTCTGAAATCTTAAGTTTACCTTTTCTAGTTACAGTACAAATTAAAGTTAATAACACGGAGGTTTGGGAGTTTGTTTTGGAGTTGAGTTTTTGAGGAAAAAAATAAAGCTGACATCGAAAAGAACTGAGACATTACCAGGTATCAGGTGAGCCCTGAAGCCAAACACGACTTGCTCGTGGTCCCTTCCCTCCTGAAGACTTTGGCTCTGGGACTGGGATACTCTTTTATAAGGTGAGTCCCAAAAGAGACTGACAGGTTCTTTCTCTTCTCAGACATACATTGAACCAATCCAAAAAATGCTTTTTTATTCCTGGTGGCATCTAACCCAACCAGAAACCAGCTGCTTTTCATTTCCCAATTATACAACAGGGTTTCTCCCCTAACTTGTTTACACTTTTTTCCTGGAAAATCCCATGTTTCTCGTGCAATACCTCTTGTGACACTCCAGTTTGTGTAAGAGACGTTAACCCACCATGGTGTATGTCAAATATCTTGGGACATAAGTTGAACTGTCCCTGCTTAGGAGCAACTTAAAACCTTGCAATACAATCCCAGTTAATTTTCTGTTCCATAAATACAGAATATAAGAACACAGAATGGATATGTGGAACTAAAACAAATGTCCATTGGCTTCCCAGACAATGGCCACTGAAGATGCCTGAGTGAAACAAAATGTAGAAAAATAAATATACCAAAATACCAAAATACATTGTAGTTATGTCCCTGGACACACAGCTGATGGGAAATATGTAAATTTATTCAAATCCAATGCCAGAGGATGTCTTTGGACTCTCAGGCCCCAAAGCTCCTGCTTGAGTTTTTTTTTCCAGGACTCTGGTTGATTTTTTGATACTTCTGGCTTCCAGTTATCATTCCAAAACTACATTATGCCTTAGATGAGCATTCAGTTTTTGGTTATCTCCTCTCAGTCTGCCAGATGTTGACCTCTGCTTCTTCTGCCATGGGAGGCAGCACCCAGCTTCTGCATGGATGGAGCATTTAACTGGACAAAAGGCAGGTTTGCATTACATGTGAAGAAGAAATTCTTCCCTGCAAGGATGGCGAGGCTCTAACACAGGTTTCCCAGAGAAGCTGTGGCTTCCCCACCCCTGGAAGTGTTCAAAATCAGGTTGTATGGAGCTTGGAACAACCTGAAATAGTGGAAGGTGTCTCTGTCTACATTGGGATGGTTGGAATGAAATGGTCTTTAAGGTCCCTTGGAATTCAAACCATGCTATTCTGCTATGCTTCTAAGATATTAATTGTTTTTTCAGATCATATTTTACTTTAAACCTCCCTTCAGTCAACAAACAAATATTGTTCATGCAGTATTTTGATATGATATATGAAGTACATCATAATAGGTGATGAAACATTTGCTAATTCAAGTGATTGGTGTTTATAATTGACCAAGACCTCTGAAAATGACACCGTATCTTACAGAACCTTTAGTACCAAAATCAAACTGAAATATTTTCATTGCTGACTGGCAGTTTACCTCCTAGTCCTGTAATTTTTTTCATTGCTTTGATATTAAGTTCTTAAGTAGAAGCACAGAATAGTCTGAACTTGAAAGGTGAATGAGTCCAAGCCCTCTGCCATGAGCAGGGACATCTTCAACTAGATCAGGTCAGCCCAGAACTTGCTCAGAGCCCTGTCCAAGTATACAGATACACAGAAGTGTACAGAAATTATCTATATGCATGTGAAAACATGACTGCAAACCATTTCCCTTACAAGCATATCCTGACACAGCTTTTTACTCTCTAGATAATTTTGTATGTGAACTGTTTCTGCAATAGGAAAAAATGGTAATTGAATTTCTGGTGTGTCTGCCAACGTCTGGCCATTAAACTGAAAAATGGGGGGAATAAAATTGCAAAAGCTGCAGTTGCTTCACCTCTTGCCAAGTGTTTGTGGTTAACTTGCCAAATGTTACTCTTACCCAACCCAATTCCTCAAGGAAACAAAGGTGCATCGTTAATTTTTATTGCCTGTAAGATCCTGTGTGCAAATACTGTCAAGGGCTTGGCTTTAACACTGGGCGTCCTTGGCCATGTTTAATACAAATTTTACATGGTCCTATGCAGGCCACCAAAAAGCCTCTGCCTGGACAAGGGAAAGGGAAAAGCAGAGGAGGTGTGGAGCAATTTTGTCAGAACTCAGCAAGATTTTGGGTTGTGGCTCTTAGGGTGGACAATCTTTCCATCCCCATCTGCAGCTCCTGTTCTTCTGAGCAAGAGACAATCAGACACTTTCAATTATTATGGTGGGCTCAGCATTTTGTGTAATAATAGAGCACTGAGGAGCTGCTGTGCCTGGTGCAGCTGGGATATACACCAAAGGGAAATGTCCTCCAAGGAGGCTGCAAAGTGTCTGGACAAGAAATGTCTTTTACTCCTTTAAAATCAAGATGTTAGAGTAATTTTACCAAAATCACCTTCCAGAGAAGAAAGAAGGATCTTATCTCCACCTTAGGAGTTTGCATCTAGCACAGAAGATGAAGCAAGTAGGAGCAAAAAGGAGAACCTTAAACTCTGCTCCTAGTAGTTTACTCTTGAAAATAAAAAAGGAAATATTAGGGACATGTTTCAGTAGCATTGCCCCTAATTAAAGTGCTTCAAACTGTATACAAAATGTACTTAATCAAGCTCAATACTTTAATGATTATGCCATTTTCTTGAGTAAATGATGAGATTAACATCTACATGAACAATTCTGGCTCCATCTTTTGACCTGACAGCTAATTATAGGTACTGGGGTACAAGGGCAGAGTCTCCTTTCTTTTTTGAGAACCACAATGTGACTGGCAGTGATGTGTGTGAGATCAAAGCTCCTGGGCACAGGTACCCCAAAGTTTCTAAAATTCAAAGAACCTTTGTAAACCAAAACAAATCTTCTAGAGAAAAATGCCAGGAGTAATCTCACCAAATTTCAGATATCCTCAAAGGAAATATCGAAGTACAAACTATTTTCACTGCTCTTCCTTTATGGATAATGGAGAGAGACCGTTCTATGGACTTTTATTAGACATTTGCAATAAGATTGTTAGAAATAAAACACAGAAGTAACAGAAGGGATAGAAGAAACCCAAAAACATTGCAAGAGAAGGTGTTTTGCAATAAGAGCCACAAGCACTAATTCTGCTGAACAAGTGGCAGCTGTGTCTCTCACAGAGCCAGAATTTGCTCTTCAGAGGGTTTTTTAAAATATGTTGTCACCTCTCCAAACCCACCCAGAAAGTCATTAGGAGTCCAAACCATCTGAGTTTGGTAACATATTCCTCTGGGCACTGTTGTGTGACTGTTCAGCAACTGCTCTTGAAGAGATAACAACCAAATCACTAACATCCATAATTCTTGGAAATGTATTTTATTCTCTTTCCCTTTTTTTCACGTTTTTCTCCTGTTTTGTGTTGCTGATATGATTCAAAATGTTCCTGCTTTTACTTTGCATAAGGTCCAATCAGAAGTGAAATTTCTCAGATGCCTCCAGGCCCCCTGAAGGAAACATCTGGAGGTACCTTGGCTTTATCTACATTTCTAGGTCATGAGGGCAAGGAAAAATAGGCAGAAGCACAGATTCCAGCCTGTATTTTGTTTCTTGCAATGAGAAAGGAAGGTCCACTTTGAGATTGCAATAACTGCTCCTTTTGGTACAGAGGGCTCCTTATTTGTAGAATTGCAGAATGGTTTGGGTTGGAAGGGACCTTAAAAATTGTCTCAACCCTCTATCAAGAGCAAGAACACCTTCCACTATCCCAGGTTGCTCCAAGTCCTGTCCAGTCTGGCCTTGGACACCTCCAGGGATGGGGCAGCCACAGCTTCTCTCGGCAACCTGGTACCAGGGCCTCACCACCCTCACAGGGAAAATGTTTCCCTCCTTCCCTACAAAGAATCACCCAAGGTTCAACCACATGAATGCCACCATAACTGATTTTATTAAAGGAGAGGAAAGAAATAGTTTCCACAATGTTGTCTGGTTCACATTTGTGATGTTTGCTTCACTGCAAGGGAAGATTGTGACAGCTTTTCATTGCAGCAGGAACTGGTGCCACCAGGAGCGAGGGATTCAGGGTGATTTCCCAGGAGCCTTTCAGTAGAAGCAGGAAGGATTTCCAGGGCAAATCCAGGGACTCTTCAGCTACTCCATCCCCTGCATGAAGAAAAGAGAGGCTCAGGCGACCCACCTGTAGGTTTTCTGCAGAGTTGTTTTCCTTATCTCATGGCATCAGAGCAGAGGCTGCCATGAGATGTGAATTCCCCCTCTACGCCAGCAGGTGTGGCACCAGAGAAGTGAGACAGGTAGCAGGAGCTGTGCCTCTGAGATGTTGCTCTGGAGAAAAGATAATGAGGAAATGAGCCATTCCCACAGAGATCCCTGCATTTCTACTCACCTTCTGCAGCAAGAATATCCATTACTACACTCTCCAATCCAGTAATACGGACGACGACAAATCCGTGGGAAGCAGCGTCCGTTTTGGGCCAAACAGGAATTATCTAGCCTAGGAAACACTTGTTGTCCTGCACAGCACAAAGAGGAGTCATTCACCATGAAAGTGATCAAAAGTGAATGCATTCTTCTTCTTTACTCCCCTCACTCCTTACCTGCAGCCCCTTGGAGCATCAGCAAGAGGACAAGCAGGAGCATGTGAAGGATCCTCATGGCCACAGCTGGGGTGTGAATTCTTTACCTGCACTGAGCAGAGAGCACAAGGTTGAACAACACTGGACAGAGCATTCTCACCTGACCAGGAGATGAGGAACTGCTGTAAAAATGTGCCCGGAGACACCAAAGCCAAAATCTTTCTCCAGTGGATTTGGACAAAGAGCAGAGTGAAAACTTCATCCTTGGAGATATTAGCAATTTCAGGAAATGCATCTCTAAACAGCCTGACCTAATTAGTACCACTTTAAGCACAGATTCAGACTAGAAACTCCTGGATTAGCTCAAAACCTAAGTTATTCTGGGATTCTATGGTGTTTTGGTGCTGATTTTCCTTTTTTTTTCTTCTTTTAATTTTGGTTTTACTGCAGTGAAAAAAGGATATCCCAGATCTTTTCAGCACCAGGCAGGTTACTCTGGTACAGCATAGGCCTACAAATTATTCCCGTTCCACATATTGAAGTACACAAAGAGTTCAGAGAATGAACCAATATTAATTAAGGTAGCAACTCATTCAAAATGTTACTGCATTCAGGCAAGACGTGGGTCAAAAGGCAAAGCTCATCTGCTGTGCTGGCTGGGTGTGTTTCTGGAGTAAAACAGACATTTCTGTCTCTGATGTCTCAAGGGAAAGTTCCCAGGTCTCTGTTCCTCTTGGAGATCACCAAACCCACCAACCTGGAAGCCCTGCAAGCAGCCAATCCATGGTTCTACAGAACATGTACACACAGGAGGCACTTGCTGGAGTAAAGAGAGAGAAATCAAAGCAGAAGGTTGAGAGTGATGAAAGGAAAAGAGATTTCTAAAGATGGAGAGGTGAGGGTGGCTCTACAGAACCAGGCAGAGTTACCCGAGGAGGAGGTGGAGGATCACCGCCGCTTCTGTTCTCCCGTGGATGCACCAGACCCAAATGCCTATAAAGGGTTGGGGATGACCCAATGCAGTCATTGGCCAATGAAATAAAAGCCTTTTCCAGCCTTTATTTGGTTTCTCCCAATGAGAAAGGAAGGTTCTCTTTGAGACTGCTTTCACCACAGAGCCCCTGATCTTTGTGCAACCCATCTTAGATCACCCAAGTTTGTGTAAGGCACATTAGACCACAGGGTGATGTAAAATTTCTGGGAACATGCAGTGAGTGCTCCTTCTGATCCTGAGGGCTTCTCAGGTGTAGAATCCCAGAATGGTTTGGGCTGGAAGGGACCTTAAAGATCATCCAGTTCCACACCCTACCATGGGCAGGGACACCTTCCACTGTGCCACATTGCTCAGAGCCCTGTCTATCCCAGCCTTGAGCACCTCCAGGGATGGGGCAGCCACAGCTTCTCTGGGCAGCCTGTGCCAGGGCCTCACCAGCCTCACAGGGAAAAATTTCCTCTCCTTCCCTGGAAAATAATCACTGGTAATGTCACCAGCTTCCCCTGGTGACTGCTGTGGTGCTCTACAGATCTTCTGGACCAAGGATCCAGGACAACCAGAAACCTTGATGCCTAGGAGGGATGTCAAAACTGTGTGAGGAAGAGGACAGGAACGGGCTGTGGAAATCGATGTGGATTTTAAGAAATCTCAGTGCTGGGAATATCTTCAATGTTTATCAGCTTTACAGCTGTTTGAGTGTCCTGAATGAAAAGGCAGCTCAGATGTTCACCTTCAGGTTAGCAAAATCTGGGGTTTGTTCCCAGATGGGCCAACTCCACATGGGATAGATCACTGCTTTGCAATGCAGTCAGGGAAGCACAGATTAATATTGCTGATGATTTAGAGATGTAAAGCTCAATTTTGCTCTTTGGCTCTCCAAGCAGCACTTTTATCCTTTTATTTCCAGTGTTTTGGAAGTAACTGGCAAACTCTGTTTGCTTGTGCCTTCCCTGAGCTGGGGGGGTCTTTCCTGTGAGAGAGGTTCAATTCCCAAGGGGGGCAGGGGCAGCTCACCCCACATCACTGCTCAAAATACCCAACAGCAGATGGGATTTCCAGGCAGGGTTTGGCCAAGTCAGGTCTGGGCAGTTTTCCACACAGGGCTGTCCAAGGTCAGTGGATGGACAGCAGGGCTGTTCCCACAGGGATTTCAGGCCATTTTTTGCCAGGTATGGAGGTGCTGTGAGGACAAATGTTGGGCAATCGTACCAAAGGTCTGTCATCCTTCCTGTCATTTGCACACAGGACGCTGGAGGAAGAGGATGGCAGAGAGAAGTTGAAGGATCCTCATTGCTTCAAGTGTCTGGGGACATCCCATTGTCACAGGTAAGCTGAGGTGACATATGGACACACAGGGTTTAACCCAGTGGCCTTCACACCCATCTCTTAGAGTGATTTAGGGAGCTCTGGGCTGGCTGGGATCTCCTGGGACTGGGGGAAAAGGGTCAGGAGAGAGGAGAGCAAGCCAGGGAGGAGGCCTGGGACACAGGGACATCTCAGGAAGCACTTGTCTAAGTGTTTAAAGGAACTGAGACCTGGATGTTCACTGGGAACGAAGTCTGTGGTGTGCTGAGTGATAAAAAAATCAACTGGGATTTAGAAGAGCCCTTCCACATATTCATTTTAACAGTATTTTATATACAAATATACCTACATTACTGTTGATTTTCTAGGAGGGCTGTAGAGAGACAGGAGAGCAAGAAATATCATTATAGCATTTGTCTATGTTTAAATAAACAATTACTGAAATTAATATGCTGACTATTCCTGAGCAATTCACAGGTTAGAATATCTGGATTATTTTTCTCTGTTTGCATGTTCTTCAGCAAAAACAAAATGGAAAGCAGTTGAGTAAATTTGACCTTTGTTTCTCTTGGAATATTTATAGATTACATGCACAGACATACAAATATATATTTACGCTTGGAGAACATAATTTTGGGGGCTCCACACAATGTCCTTTGCAGTACCCCAGGAAAAAGGAACTAAGACATTTAGTGGTTAAAATGCTTTCAGGATGCAATATTAATTGATTTGCAATATTCATTCTTTAATTGCATGTGTTTAACTGCCAAGAAACAGATGAAATGTATCACTTTAGTGATCATGAGTGGCCAAAACAATGCTTAGAGTCAATAACAGTATATTGGAATTAAAATTATAGTTAAATTATAGTATTTAAGATATTTAAAGGAAGTTTACCATCAATCATAAGAACAAATAAAATTAATTAGTTAAAGATCTTGTCCAAACCCTGATATTTGACTCTGGATCTGTTTTGTTCCACTTTGGGCAGGTGGCACATGTACAAAGTGGAACAACAGGAAGAAAGAATAATTTCATCCTATTTTAACCTCCTTTTCAGGAGGTTAACCCAAAATCTCAGTTCAGAGCCCTGTACCTCTAAAACCTCATTAATACATTTAATATTCACAGTGTCTGCTTCTTTACAGTTCCACAGTGTCTGCTTCTTTACAGTTCATCACTTGAGTTATTTAAGTTTTTTTGGGTTTTTTTTAAAGAACAAAATCAAAATCCAAATACTAGAAACAAATGCTCTTCCATGTTATAAAGCAAATATACACATTCTTCCAATTAAATTATACAAGAATGGTTTTTTAAATAGCTGTCTTTTTCTGAGGAGCCTGTTTAGGGCCCAGCCACCCTCTGGGTGAAGAAGTTTTCCTGATATACAACTTAAACCTCCCCCAACTCAGCTTCATTCCACTTCCTCGAGTCCTGTCAATATGATTTTGAGAGCAGTGACTGGTTTCTGGTTCCTTGTCCATCACAGGAGTCCACAGCAGACTGCAGAGCAGGGAGGGCTTTTCAGTCTGGCCTGTCAGAAAACATCACGCACTCACATATCAGCTCAGGGAATCAAAAGACATCAGTATAATTAAGACAAAAAATCCATAAAACCCTGCTGTCAGAATAATTTCCGTACCCTTCACTGAAGAAGGTTGCTGGAGGGGAATTTCAGCGTTAGCTCTTCATTGCCATCTTCTGGGGGAGACCCTGCTAGGTGAATGCTCTTTGAAGAACAGGAATGTTGGGTTTTTTCCTGATGGTGTAACAATGAAAACACAACATCTGGGCTCACAGGTGCCTTCAGGGTTCAGGTTAAACCAGTGCTGCCATCAGTTTCTGTAGTCCAGATCCTCTGAGGGCACATATTTGATCAAAATATTTTTTGTGAAAGTTGTTTCCTTCGGCCACCTGGAATCAGAAAGGCTGTGTGGAAGAGGGTACTTCCCAGGAATTAATTATTCAAATAGAAGTATTTTCTGTGAGGCAAACAGAGCACAGATGTGGCAAATCCATGAGAATGAAAGAGTGACAGGCAGGTCAAGGGAGGGCAATCTGCTCCTGTGGCATCCTGCCTGGGGTCCCCACCCAACATAAGGACATGGAGCTGCTGGAGAGAGTCCAGAGGAGGCCACAGAGATGTTCCAAGGGCTGGACCTGGCTCTGGAGCCAGGCTGGGAGAGCTGGGAGTGCTCACCTGGAGAAGGATCCAGGGAGAGCTCAGAGCCCCTTCCAGAGCCTAAAGGGGCTCCAGGAGAGCTGGAGAGGGTCTGGGGACAAGGGATGGAGGGACAGGACACAGGGAGTGGCTTCCCACTGCCAGAGGGCAGGGTTAGATGGGATTTTGGAATCCTTCCCTGTGAGGGTGCTGAGGCCCTGGCACAGGATGCCCAGAGAAGCCGTAGCTGCCCCTGGGTCCCTGGCAGTGTCCAAGGCCAGGCTGGGACTTGGAGCAACCAGGGATAGGGGAAGGTGTCCCTGGCCATGGCAGGGTGTGGAATGGGATGAGTTTTAAGGTCCTTTCCAAGCCAAACCATTCTGGGATTCTGTGAACACAGAGAGGTCTCACCTGTATTTCACATGGGGAGAGTCATTGCGAAACCTGAGCTTCCCAAATTCAGCTGTCAAGGGGCTGTGGATGCATCTCCAGGCTCCAGAGACAGCCCTGCAGGGTCAGGTGCCCCTGGATCCCAGCCTGTGTGTCCCAGGCCATCATTTTCCACCGCCCACGAGGGATCAATGTGTTGGGCACACTGGGGGTGAGGTGTTTTTGGGAAGAGCCAACTCATGTTCCAGGGAAAGGGGAGGGAGTTCACGAGCGGTCACTGTCCCCCGTCAGCTGCTGGGAAGTGACATTTCAGCTGCTGGGAATTGCTGTGACAAGTCCGTGTCCTTGGCCAGCTGGGCTGTGGAGGTTCTGTCATCCACAGAATATATAAAAACAGTGGTTGTGGGGCGAGACATCACTCTGCAAAGATCCCCTGGAGCAGAACCGGGTAGGACCCACTGGCCCCCTCTCCTCTGCTCCTCATGGGTGAGCCAAAGGTGCAGTTTTCACACCAGTTTCAACCAAAGAGGAGAAAAACACATGATTTTTGGTAAAACTTGTTGCTCTAAAAAGAAATTAATCATCCAAGATGCAGAATATTGCAGCTTAATTAAATCCCCATGAGTACCTGAAATGGTCAGTGCTTGGTATTTCGGTAATGCATTTGGCTGATTATTATACTCAGTGATGGTGATTCCTAACTATTAAATTAGTTTCCAAAGGTAGCTGGAATCTGCAGCAAGAAATGATGGTGGAGAGAAAATTTAGGGCTTCCAGGATGGATAGATGGCTCCTTAGATTTTCTGTAAAGGTATTTCAAGGAGTAATTACTGGCTTGTAAGCTAAAAAAAATACCATTATTTGAATAATTAAAGTTTTTGAGTGTTTATATTCAAAGGAATTTGAAAGGCTTAAGTTATTAATTAAATAAAATGCATATTTTAGTAATTAAGAAACTTGCTTTGAACATGAAACACTGCACTGTATGGGCTGCCATGATTAAAGTGAACTCCATCCCGGCCAGACTCAGCAGAGTTGCTCAAATAAAAAAATTAATAAAAATATTTATAGTAATAAATACATTTTATCAATCTTATGCAGTATGCGTTCAATTTTATATTTTATTTAAAAACTGTTATTTCTGTAGATTCATTTTAGAACATTTACTCTATTACATAAATGCCAATTTTTATTAAAAAATTCCAGCTAATTTGTCAATAATAATGTTTGTGTGAGGTTGCAAATGCAGGTTAAATGTATTTGGCTTCTTTTTGTTTTTTTCTTAGCATCTGTTGTATTTGGTGGCACTGAATTTGGACATGAAAATCTTTGCCTTTTTCTTTGCTGTGCTCCTCTTAATGCTGCAGGGCACTTCAGGTAAGAGTTAAATAAACTCTTAAGGAAATGCAGAGGGAAAATTCTGAGTATGGAAAAAAATAAGGAATAGGAATGGAAATAAAACCAGAAATAAGAGGAATAGGAATAGGAATAGGAATAGGAATAGGAATAGGAATAGGAACAGGAACAGGAACAGGAATAGGAATAGGAATAGGAATAGGAATAATAGGAATAGGAATAAGTAAATAATGTGAATATGAATATGAAAAATAGAAATAGAAATAGAAATAGAAATAGAAATAGAAATAGAAATAGAAATAGAAATAGAAATAGAAATAGAAATAGAAATAGAAATGGGTTTAGTCCCTTTTGCCTATGGCCAAAGTGCTGCCAGTGTGTTGGACACATTTTTAGCAGTGACCAGACACCAAATGGGTCCTTTGGATGCACTGAGCCCTCCCAGTTTGGAAAATAAGGGGATTTAATGGTGTGGAAGTGGCCAGCCTGCAGGTAAACTTCAACACTGCTGCCATGCAATAGCCTGGATTGTTCTTAGTCTTCTTTGGGAAGGAAGATCACAACTCTGCATTGTTTTATTTTTCATTCTGCCCAGGTTTCCTGCGTGCCCCCAACACCGAGGGGCAGTGCAGACAGGCTGGGGGGGTCTGTTCCCGGGACCACTGCCCCCAGCCCCACAGCAGACCCTTTGGACGCTGCCAGCAGGGAATTCCCTGCTGTAGGACCGTGGTGAGTCCAGGATGTGATGGATCACACACTCACAGAAGGGCTTGGATTGGAAGGGGCCTTTCAAAGTCATCTATTCCACCCCCATTATCATGGACACCTTCAACAAGATCCAGTTGCTCCAAGCCCCATCCAACCCAGCCTTGAACATTTCCAGGGATTTCTTGGGGTTTATTACTCATTCATTACCCATTTTTATACATCCAGTCTGCCCTTTAGATGGAAAATTCCTCCAGCACAAGCTGGCAAAGAGCAGAGACTCTGCACACTCAGATGTAGGATTTCCTGAGGATTTCCTCACTGCTTCCCCCTGCAGCATTAATGGCACAGCTCAAGTGCCTCGTGGGAAAGATCACAGTGAAACCTCTTTGGCAGAGAGAATTCATTAGCCAGAGATGAACCCTTTTTGCTGCTGTTCCCATTAGCTGCCTCACGCTGCTCATGGTGAGTGGTACTGGCTCCAAAGGACACATCTCTTGATGTGTCCACACTGTCCTGAGACCTGGGATTTTTGGGTCAGATGCATAGAAACCTGCATGTTCCACCTTGCAAAGGCTGCCTGGTTCCATAGTTGGAAGAACAGCCTGAAAGTCATGTTCTCCTGGAGTTTTTTCTCCATAAATTTCCTCTTCCAGAAAAAAACAAAATACTTGGTCTATTGGAAGGTGTCCCTGCCCCTGGTAGGGAATTGGAACCAGGTGGTCTTTTTGGTCACTCCAAATCAAAATAATTCTTTAATTCTGTGACTAGTTTATTCTTTTCCCCCTCAAATTCCTTACTGGAATCCTAAAGTTCACCCATATATTTATTCCAACATGAAACTGCAGCAACAAATATCCCTGAATATTTACACTCTGCCTCCACTGATTCCAACATTTCATTTTCTGTTTCTTTTTTACCCTGTAAAATGCTGCAGGCATTTTTATTTTTGGAGACTCTTACTTAAACTGTGTTCAACATTAGTAGCACGAGATGTTAAAAACAAAACATGAGCAGCAGAAACTCTTTTCCAAGAGTTTCCAAGAGTTTCCAAACACAAATTCCAAGAGGAGTAGGAAACTTCAGGCACAGAGTGTGGTCAGTTCATTATTAATTAAAATAGAAAAGTGATTTATGATTAAAATTCAGCAGCAGCAGGACTGTGAATATCCTGAAGAGTTGGATTCAGGAATATCTGCCCTTGATGCTCATTCAGTCCCTTCTGTGCATTTTATTTTATTCCTTTCCTGGTTGTAAGTACAAAATCTGAAAGCTTCTTCCCCTTTTTTTTTTGCAGTATGATTAATGGCCACTGACATCTCTGATGGGCTAACCAGAGCTTCTGATAATTTAAGGGATGCATCATCCCATTGGAAAATCTGGAATTCTGAGCAGAAAATATACAGACATTTGACACATACAAGCACTTGCCACAATGTGAACAACAGGAAGAAAACAAACCCCTCCACAAACAGCCTTCATGACCTGAAGAAACTCCAAAGCAATTCTTGAAGCACCCAGAAAAGACCAATATTTTTTCATTTTAAAAAATGTTTTGCTGCTGAAATTTTATTGTGTCAACCAACATCTGTCCCAGAGAGGTCACCAGCATGCAGGAGTCTGTGCCCATGAGAGGATGCAAAGTTATTCCTTTGGCCCTTAGAACAGCTATTCTTTTATTATTGTTATTATTTTATTTTCCTTTTGGAGTCAAAAATAATGTGAGTAATGCCAGAATGCTCAGCTAAGGTGCTTATATTTCATAGTCTACACATCTCAATAAATTTTAATAAAGATGCTCTGGAAGATCTGTGTTTGATCCTTATCCCTGTGAGGTATAACCTCCTTATCCCTGTGAGGAACAATCTCTGTGAGGAGTAACTCACTGCTGTGTGGTTTTCTTGGAGGGTCTCACCTGCAATCAGTGTGAGATGTGCCTTGTGGTAAACTTATCCAAGAAAAGGGGAGGAAAACAAACCCATGTGGTGACAGGAGTATGTCCTTGTCCTAATCATTATTAATTTGATTAATAATAACTTCAAGGCCAGGTTGGACAGGACTTGGAACAACCTGGGACAGTGGAAGGTGTCCCTGCCCATGGCTGGGGTGGACCTGGATGATCTTTAAGGTCCCTTCCCACCCAACCCATTCCATGATTGTGTGATGATTAGGCCAGTGGAGAGCTGGCACAAACTGATCAGGCTGAGCACCCACAGAGGCCCTGAAACCATCCAGCAGCTCATGGCATGGAGAGCATGGACACTTTGGGTCACCCCTTGTCTCAAATCCTTCTGGCCTTTGCACTGGGGATGTTAGGGATGGGGAAGGGAAGGAGGGGATGAGTCTTGGTGTCGAGAATCCAGGCTGATGGACACACAGCCCACTGTTTCCAGACAGAGCAGTGCAGGGAAAACCAGTGTGACCAGTTTAGGATCCAGAGAAATTAAATTTCATGGACATGATACTGGTCTACCCTAAACAGAGACAGCAGGAGCAGAATCTTGTGGATGTGGTCACACAGTTTCTGCCACCCTGGGGTTTCTCTGTATTCCAAATATTTCAGGTTGGGCTGGCAGATGCAGCCCTGGAGAGGAGCAGATGACTGACCCTGTCTCCTGAAAGTCAGCTCTGGGCTGGAATGGACTCTAATGCTTTTCCAGTTATTAATATAAATGTTGCCACACAAATCACTGCGACACAGGGTGATTTAACAGGACTTGGTGGCACATGGACTTAATGTCGTTAAATAAAATTCATTTACAGGGTGATTTTTATAGACAATAAAAACAACAGAAACCACCCTGGCATACATGAGCAAGTATCAGCAACATGGTTTCACAAGAACTTGCTTTTATTAGAATTGAAACTGCAAATATCTTTATTGGACAAGAACTCCTCCTCAGATGTTCCTGTGCTCCTGAGGGCCTCCACCCACATGGGAAAGGCTCCCCAGGGCACCCCAGACAGGATCCATCGATGTCAAAAGATGGGGGATGTCTCAGATGTCCAGAGCTCTTGTCTGAGTGGTCAGTGAGGTGTCAGGTTTAGGAGCTGGGGGTCCTGAAGAGAAAAGTCAGGAGTTTAGCTCACCCACCAAAGAAAGAAATCATACCTTGATACCTCAGACTGCTGGAGATGTCAAGGGACACGTGAGGGTAAAGACAGCTGAAGACTCTTGTGAGCTGGACCTGTGTTTCTGGCCATAAGACAACCCAAATAAAAGATAGGATGGGGCTGTCACCTCTCAGCACACACCACAGATACTCATTTGTGGCTGCTGAAGCCCCAGAATACCAGGAACATCTTCCACTAACCCAGGTTATTCCAAACCCTGTCCAAGCTGGGCTTGAACATTTCCAGGGATGGAGCAGCCACAGCTTCTCTGGGAAACCTGTGCCATGGCCTCAGCACCCTCACAGTGACAAATTTCTTCCTAACTTCCAGTCCAGATCCACTCTCTGTCAGATTGAAGCCATTGCCCCTTGTCCTGTCACTCTTGTAAACAGTCTCTCTTTCCCTCTGGAATATTTACACACCACAAAGGCTCTGCCTTGTTTTCACCACACACAACCCCCAGCAATTAGCAGGTACTTTTTGGAGGTTGTAGGGGGCTGGAGAAGAGGCTCTGATGCTGAAGAAGGGAAAAAGCCCAGGGATTCTGCTTGTTTTTGGTGCAGCAGCACTTCCCTGGAGGGATTCCTCTTACCATTTGCAGCATCTTAGCTTCCCACCGCGGCAGGTCCCGATGTCAACCAGAGGAGCAGAGCAGGGCACGAAGGAGCAGGAGCCCCGGCTCTGCCGGCATGCGAGGGTGTCAGCGGTTTCCTGGCTGTGAGCTGCAAAAAAACAGGGAAAACTCATCCTTGTTTGTCCTGGCAGAGGACTGGAGGCTTGAGGCATGAGAATTACCTAGCAATGTGTTAAGCTTTTTGTCATCAAACTGGATTCCATCCCTAATTTGAAGGGCATCAGAACTTTATTCTAAATCAGGTCTACCACATTTCAACCACTTTGTCCCAGTGGTTCCTGAGTCCTTTCTCTTAATCACATATTATTCAAGGATTACATGTTTTTGATGTCACTCAGCTGATTTTAAAGCAACCATTAGACCTTGGTTTCCCTTATCTCTTAAATGAAAAAGCCCTGTAGTGTTTTGTGCATATAATCTTTGTGAAGAGATAGAAAATAACTGGTGGCTCTTTCCCCAGAGATTCTACTGGAAATGTACCAGTCCTGCATCCATTTCAGGGGTCACAGGGTTTTTTGATATAAATAATATATTTTGTGATGCATGAAGTAGGAGAAGCCCAAGAAAGCAATCCCAAAACATGTAGTACAGATTTTGTCTCAATGGTTCTACAATTTTTCTTTGAGTAGACAGATATTTGATGGTCTAAGAAAGCTGGTACAAATTTGAGACTACTGCAAATCAAATTTAGACAACTTCAGCTGCTTCAAAAACACCCAAATAGCCTGGAATGATACATGGCCTCCAAACCCACTTAATGCACATGACCAATACAGAGTTTAGGTAAAAACTGACAGTCAGGATAACATTTTTCCCAAAAACAGATGAGGTCTCCCAATCCAGAATACACATGTGGGTGAGAAGGTGAGAAGAGAAAGCTCTCATGTTGCTGGGTTACATCTTTAGTATTATTCTAAGAATAGCCTCAGTAAAATCCTCAGGGAATTGTTCAGGTTGGAAAAGGGTCCTTGGATCCTCCGTGACCATCGAGTCCGACCATTCCCCAGCACTGACCATATCCCCAAGTGCCACATCCACAGGGCTTTTAAATCCCTGCAGGGATGGGGACTCCACCACTGCCCTGGACAGCCCATGACAGGGTTGGGGACCTCTTCTGGTGAAGAAATGTTTCCTAATATCCAAGAAAAACCTCTCCAGGTACAACTTGTCATCATTTTCTGTTGTCCTGTCCCTGTTCCCTGGAAGCAGAGCCCGACCCCCCTGGCTGTCCCCTCCTGTCAGGGAGTTGTGCAGAGCCAGAAGGGCCCCCTGAGCCTCCTTTTCTCCAGGCTGAGCCCCTTTCCCAGCTCCCTCAGCCTCTCCTGCTGCTCCAGCCCCTTCCCCAGCTCCGTTCCCTGCCCTGGACACGCTCCAGCCCCTCAATGTTTCATTTTGTCAGGAGGGTCCCAGAGCTGTCCCCAGCACTGGAGGTGTCCCAGCAGTGCCAGCACAGGGGACAGGCACTGCCCTGCTCCTGCTGCCACCCCAGAGCTGGCACAGCCCAGGTGCCATTGGCCTCTTGCCCACCTGGGCACACCTGGCTCATGTCAGCAGCACCTCCAGGACATTTTTCAGCCACTATGCCCCAGCCTGGAGCTGCAGGAGTTTGTTGTGACCAGCACTTGGCCTTGTTGACCCTCACACAATTTGCCTCATCCTATGGATCCAGCCTGTCCAGATCTCTCTGCAGAGCCTTCCTGCCCTCCAGCAGAACAACACTCCCTCCTCACTTGGTGTAATCTGCAAATCTGCCGAGGTTACCCTCAATCCCCTCATCTGGATCACTCATGAAGATATCAAACAGGACCAGCCCCAGTGCTGAGCCCTGGGGAGCACCAGGTGGGCCTGGCCATCCTGATAATTTTTAACCCAGTGAACAGTGCACCCATCCAAGCCAGGAGCAGCTAGTTTCCCCAGGGAACTTCTGTGTCAGGGGTTTACCAAAAATCCATCTCGATACCTAATCCACTAAATGGGACAATCTCATCATAGAGGACATCAAGCTGGTCAAGCAGGATCAGCTTTTCATGAACCAATGCTGGCTGTGCCTGATCCTCTGGGTGTTCTGTACGTGCCACATGAAGGCACTGCTCCAAAACCTTTTATGGCACAAAGGTCAACACAGGACCATCCTTTTTTCCCCATCCCCATGTGCTAGAAAGAAACCATCAGTATGACTATCAAGAACCTCGAATCAATAGCTTGCAAATTAGTACTATTACCAGGGAAGAGGAATTCTAATAGGAAAGTCATGGATTCCAGGAGCAGAGAGCTAATCTGACCCTCAGCACTGGGATCTCATGAACTTCTCTGCATGTTAACCCTTTCAGCCTCCATCTCATCTCCTTCCAGCCTTACCTGGAGCAGCCTGGAAGAGGAAGAAGAGAACAGCAACGAGGAAGAAAAGGATTCTCATGACTGGCAGCTGGCAGCAAGGCAGCTTTCTCAGGGATGGAGGCAACACCAGTGTGAACAGAAGCTGTCCGAGACCGAGCACAGGTGGTGCCTCTGCATATAAAGGCTCTGGGACAGAACGAGGTGGGTGGAGGAGTGGCTGCCTGGAGAACAGAGAGTTCATGGCCCTGTTCCCATGGAGACTGGTGATGTAGGCAGATGTTGCAACCTCCCACGTTAGAAGATACCTGAGCCATGACCACATCTTGCCGGCCAACCCAAGCAGCCAAAGCACCCGGTGCCAGCTGGTGGGCTGCGCCCCGGGAGGACGTGGGATTGGAGCAGGAGGGAGGTGGGTTCCTGGGATCTGCAGGGTTGTAAACCATGTGGAACTGATGGTGCCCCGTGGCTCTTGGCCATGGTCTTGTGACAGCTTGTCCTCCCCCTCAGCCACCAGGCAAGGTGAGCAAAGGAGAAAACTCCTCCTTGGAGAGCAGAGCATGGAGTGACAGGGCAAGGGGCAATGGCTTCAAGCTGAAAGAGAGCAGGTTTAGATGAGATATTTGGAAAAACTCCTTCTCTGTGAGGGTGGTGAGACAATTGTCCAGAAAAGCTCTGGCTGCCCCATCCCTGGAAGTGTTCAAAGACAGGTTAGACAGGGCTTGGAGCAACCTGGGATAGTGGAAAACATTCCTGCCCAGGCAGGGGCTCGGAACAGGATGATCTTTAAGGTCCTTTCCAACCCAAACCATTCTGTGATGATGAAGAGGAATGCAGGAAAGGATCAGAGATTTAGTCCTTGCTTGGGATAGAGTTGTAGGGCTGCAGAAAGAGACAGAGTGGGGCTGAAAGGGTCATGGATATTCCCCCTCCTGGCTATGAAACTGGCAGACATGGCAGTTCCTTCAGTCTCCCAGGAGTTTTTCCAGCATGGTTCACAGCTCAGTCACTCTCTGTGCCTTTTATTTGTGACTTTAGCCATAGATTTGTACCAAATGTCACAGAAGTCATTAAACAGAAAGGACTGGAAGGGACACTGCTGTGTCTGCCAGGCTATCATAGGAGACTGATCCAAATTCCCTCCAGCAACCCCTTAGATCTGTTTGAAAACAATGATATCATAGTCTGAACCTTCCTCCCAAATCCAGTCTGCATAGGGTGTCTAAAATACTCATTCTTGCAAAAATGATCTTGGTTTAATGACATTTTCCCTTGCTGCCAGTCACCTTGCTGAATGTGGTTACGAAGATATTCACATTTCTCTGATTTTCACAGATTCAACACATCAAATCCACTTCTGTGTGGTGTCTCCACCTCTCTTATCACCTTGTAACTTATTTCTGCATCTGAAAATAAAATCTAATCTCTTTTTCCATGCATGTGAAGGCCCAGTCATATCTAAAATGGACCAGAGGAAGTGTCACCAGAACTCTGTAGAGGTCTCTTGACCCCTAACTCTTGTCTCCAAGAAATGCCACTCCTGAGACATGGGAACTTCAAGTGAACGTTTTTTTTCAGGCAAACAGGGCGAACAAAAAGTCATCAGTGAAACAAAGTCACGAGGGTGATTAATTATTTACTGCTTGGGCGAGAGCAGCAAACTGAAACGATGGAGAGCAAGAGCAGGGGTGAGCTCTGGCTGCACACAGAAGGCAGAGAGGTCTGTGCCTGGTGAACCAGCTGCTGCAAGCTGGGTGTAGGGCATGGAAGGGCTTCAGTTTTTTTTAAAAAAAAAAATCATTAATTCAGTATATCAGGACTAGAAACAAGCAAAAATCTTCTTGTGGATGGATGAGAAGCTAGAGAAGGGGCAAGAGGATACAGATGGCAAAGAAAACTATTCCCACCCTTACTTCATTGAGCCCATATCCTTGAGGAACATGGTGAGGAACATGGTGAGGAAATGGACTTTCAGACCTCTGCCAGGAGCTGTAAGAGCTGGCATGGGCAGTGATGGCTTAGCAAAAGGCCCTGTATTTTCACACGTATTATTGAGCCAGAGGCTCTAAAATGTGCTGTTGCTCTCATCTCTTCTCTGTTTCCCTCCTGGATACAGAAGTTTCAAGGAGCCAGTCATTAATAATAAATGACTCTGTGTCCATGTGTGACTGCAATTTTATTTAAGGGAGTCATAGGGAACTGACCATGTCCCAGCTTCCTGATTTGTGATTGAGGAATGGACACAACCCCACAACCCCACAACCCAAACCACTCTGAGCACCTGCCCAAGGTTTCAGACAGGCAGCCCATCCACCTGTACCCTCAGCTTCACTTCTGGAAAGACAAAAAAGAAGGAAAAAAAGTGCAGTCCATGATCTTAAAACATGGCCAGCTGTAAGGAAACCATCAAGAGTGAAGCTTACTTGTAGAAATGACAGAATCCAATGGAAAAGGGAAAAGTGCTTTTCTACTCCTTGCATAATCCCACTCCTGCCTGTCCCAGGCAGCACAAGGGGCAGGGNAATCCCCAGTGACCCACCTGATGAAGGTGTTGGCTCAGAGCACACCAAAGCAGAAATGGTATGTAATAAACCCACCAGGAAATGCTTGTGTGAAGAGTCCAGTTCAGGGAATGCTGCTTTGCCCCAAACAGGCTGGATTTATAGCAGTGCTGGTGGGTGGGACAGGCCCCAGTTGCTGCTGGCACAAGTGGTCTGGGCCAACCCAGGAGTGCCCCATGTGTGTGTGGGGGTGCTGGGGCTGGCCCTGCTCCCTCCCTGCTGCAGGGGCAGGGGCTGAGGTGCCTCGTGGGGCTGTTGCAATCAATGTCACCGTTGTCCCCATGCAACACCTCTTGTGACACCCACGGCACAGCAGCAACGGGCTGTGGGGCCAGCTGGGAAATACTTGGGATGGGCACAGGAACTGGGGGTGGGGGCACAGGCACCACAGCAGTCCTAGGGGAGCAGAATCCTTCTTGCATAGGCTTACAGGATCCCCTCTGCAATCGTGAGGGTTTGAAGTAAAAGTTCATCTCATTCCTCACCTTGCCATGGGCAGGGACACCTTCCACTATCCCAGGTTGCTCCAAGCCCTGTCCAACCTGGCCTTGGACACTCTCAGGGATGGGGCAGCCACAGCTTCTCTGGGAAACCTGCACCAGGGCCTCATCACCCTCACAGGAAAAAAAAATCTCTTCCCAATATGCCAGCAAACATTGCCCCCTGTCTGTCTGAAACCTTTCCCTCTTCTCCCATCTTTTTCCTATGTCTCTTCTCCTCTGATTGAAAGAACCAATTGGCATGGGATATGCAAAAACTCACACAATATGGAAAACACCTTTGGACACTTCAGAAATATCTTATTAGACAAGAGCTCTTTGCACCTGACATGTCAGAGTGTTAAGCAGGGTTCTCTCTAGTGACTCTTCATCTAAAATGAGAGCAACACCAGGATAGATGACGTTCTATAAACCAGGTGATCCAACAAAACCGAGTCTCCTCCTAATACCAACCAAGGTGAAGCAATACAAGCTGGATGCAGCCATCACTTGTGAATGCAGTGTGTTTGAAGCCAGCCATGTGTCACGATCTGCAAGGTGGGATTCGTGATGTGGTTCTTTTAGTCGGTCTTTGAGTATAAAAGATTATCAGCAAACCAAGGACTTAAACATGAAAACACTCTCTATTGAGTGCTCATCAGCACTAATATGCGATAGAGGGAAAGGAAAGAGAAAGCAAAGCATAAGGAAAAGAGAGTAAGGGGATTATAGCTACCAACGTCGAAGTCCACTCAGTCGTCCAACGACGCAGAGTTTTCTGTCCGTTGAGGAGATCTCAAAGGAAGGTAAGTTTGGGGTATAATTTTATAGTCTTTTGCAAAGCGAGGGGCACAGGGCCAAAACCAGAGGAGATTGATGATCATTGTGATGAATTCCATTGCGTGGGGAGCAGGTGTAGCTTACAGAGCGATCCATGTCTTGCAAGTCTTTGCACACCAGCAGGAACGAGGGCAAGGTGTTGTGGAAAACCCATTGCACCGGGTACCACGCACAAGCCTCTGCTCACCAGCAATAACGAGAGCAGTGTATCCTGCAACCACCTGCAAACAATCACTGAGCAAACATCCATCTCAGCTAGGCCAGAACTCCCAAACCAAGTCCCTTGTGATATTCAGGGCCTCAGTCTCTGTCCTAGAGACAGATGAGGGAATCTTTGGACTGTCTCTTACACCATGCCACTGGGAGAAGTGACAGTCCTTGCTGGGCAGGAGGGTCTGTGCCCAATTTGGCACTTCCTCTCCAGGTGTTTGGCAGAGCAATCTGGTCCCCCCAGAACTACAAGAGTGGAGATGCTGGGGAACTGCAAGTGGAACTTCTTGGCCTTTTCTCATGCCCAACCCAGAGATGTGAAGTCTCAGTGACAAGGTGGCAATCATAAAAATGT